ACGTACCGAAAACAATATCTAATTATTCATTGATTAAACGTAGTAACAGCTGTGATATCAAATTTTAGTACGTAATTAAGATTCTAATATTTAGTTAATAAATTGTTTATGTAAGGTTAGCGATTATAAATAGCCTATGACTATATTTTTGACAGTAAGACTATCTTTATGAAGCATCATTTTGTGCATACAAAAGACTTCAACGACCTATTTTCTATCTAATACAGGATGCGTACGTTTATTCTGGATGGAGGGGTGGTTTTTTCTGAATTATTTAGTTAGAATATACCTAATTGGAATATGTAAGATCAAGATTACTATCAAAGAGGTATTTTAATAGAAAGGATTTTTGAAAAGAAAAAGCATTTAAACATGTTTAGCACTGTCATATGCTTATGCTTAAATTTATATCTATGATTTTAGTCAAATCAGTATTCAGACCCCCCAATGTCGAGAACAGGACTTCCTGTCTAAATGTCAGTGTTGTCAGCAACGCCGGCGGAAGGTTGTTACACAAAAAAATTACTTCTAATTGACCGTATCCAAGTAGTTGGTAGTTTTAAATGCCGACTTAAGTATCACGCATTTCCTCTACTTTAGTCTTATAGAAAAAACTGAGAAATTAAATCATTATGTCGTCTATATTAATTATGGTCAAGGTACTTTTTTATAAGATGAACATCAAGGTTTAATATTATAGATTTCCTTATAGAACATAGAATTGTTTAAGGTATTAATACAACACTACTGATATCAAAGTAATCCTGTTAACTTGATAGAAAGATATCAGAGATATTGAAGAAATTTGTATTTGAGAAGTCTTTTTTAATGTCTTATAGGTAAAAAATACCATCCGGGTCATAAGTACAGTGGCCAGCAAGTCAAACTATCCTTTTTTGTCAGATTTTTCTATTACATCTTCAACTTTATTGTATTGACATAAAGTCAAAAATCCAATGAATAAGTTTGACAGATTGGCGTAGGCTGATCTGCTGGTCAACGTGCATACTACTTCAGTGGACGAAAAAATCGTGAGTAATATAAAGACCTAATTACACGTCTAGAATAAGGAGATGTACAAAACCTTTACTGCCAATAAACGCCTCGTTTGAATTACCTGTAGCATTGACATTATCTGTTCATTCATTGGTATCATTACAACCCACATGCGGCCTGCAACAGCTGGTAACCGAAGGCTGAACTTCCGCTCGTATTGTTTGCACGATGTGGCATCCTGGCCAATGAGGGGAAGAGGACAGGTAGTAGCTTTAATTGTTAGGGGAATTTTGTTGAATCATTCTAAATGAAGGAGGTATAATATGTTGGTGAATAGTGGCGCTAGTGTCGTCTTAGGGATGAACATTTTTCGTTTTGTATTTTTATTTAGTTTTTAAGGTTTCATTAAGAAAAAGATTTAATTATGAAAACTTTGTATTCAGTAATCCTGCCTATAATTAAGTTCACTACTATTTCATTACTAGGTATTGATTTTAAAAGACGTTAACGTTCCTTTATACAACAATAGATTTTGCATGGACACGCGAATTATAGTATGCTTGAATAATTCTGAAATGTTAATATTCTTTTTATCTTTAACAGTATTAGTGTGCGTTGTGTGTGTGTGTGTGTGTGTGTGTGTGTGTGTGTGTGTGTGTGTGTGTGTGTGTGTGTGTGTGTGTGTGTGTGTGTGAAAAAGCTTTAAGAATAGAAACGTCCTTCAAACTTTTCGTATGGCAAGAATATCAAAATGTTAAGCAAAACCTGCATGTTATAATTAACTGCTATATATATAGTGTAGTAAATGGTGAACGAAGGCTTTTAACTTTATTTTTAGTAAATGTTACTGGAAGAGTTCGTCAAATGTTTAACGAGTTAATGGAGACTTACCTACATGTTTAGAAACATATGCCAGAAATCAGTTTAATGTTTCTAGCGACACGGAAGCCCTAATATCACACGATCATAAAAGAGATAATTAATTCAGCTGTTGATTTATTACTAGAAATACCAAGTCAACTTAATTATTATTTACCTACTTAAGTGCTTAAGTAACTATACTAGCCCCCGAATGTCTTCAATATTAAGAACACAACATTACTTATACTTTTAAACCTACATCGAATTAATTACCTTGCATTTGTCGTTCATTCATAGAAGTCGAGTGTTCCTCGTATAACGAACGCCATTAAGCACGCTAGCGCCATCTCTGATCGCGATGGCGAACTATTAAGTACTTCAACATGTACGTAACGTGTTTAACTTCAAGTTGTTTTACTTTTACTACGCATTGATAGATGGCGTGGCCTTTCCTCAATGTGAAAAAAACTTGAAATAAGTTTGTTTTGACCTAAAAATATGTTATCAAGGGAAGCTGAATTATTTTATTGAAATTCAATTATGAATTTACGTTTTGCATCAAATTATTGGCCAACAGAGCAAAATATAGAACCATTTGTATGTACAAAGTTTGATAGATAGCAGTTCCATAAAACTCTATACTTTATACAAATCCTAAACTTTATACACATACTTTTCAGCTTTTTTTTGTATCCACGAAGTATTATAGTACATAGGTATAAATTTTTCAAAACTATCATTAGGTATAATAGGCTGCTCTGAGCTCGTGAGAGAGTATACACCTCGTCTGCAGAAGAAAGGCACGTCATCATCTCCATATTTGGTAGACGGGTAGAAGTGCACCATTGGAAAATGTCCATACGGCTCATGCTACACCTACAAGAAGACGAAGGGTAGTAGTAGCTTTACTATTTCTAGCTTGCCATTACCACAGGGCTACGACTTAAACAAAACTACATTAGATTGAATTTCCGTTCTCAATAATATAATATGGCCAATGTAATCACAATAAAATGCAACACACGTACCATGTCATTGTTGGTTTGTAATGCAACTATGCAAAAATCTATTACACAAAACTATTCATTATTATCATCAACTATACCTTATAATTATGTAAGTAATGCAATCGCAGATAATCGCATTTTAATATTCGTTATGTAAGCACTTTGCTAATTTAAATAAGCAGTAAAAATCCACTGTTAGTTTGTACGTTTTGACTGCCTCGTTGGCCGAGTGGTCGTAAGTGCGACTGCCGGGCAAGAGGTCTCGGGTTCGATTCCCGGGTCGGGCAAAGTATTACTGAGTTTTTAAATATTTTCAGTAGTAGCACGGAGTCTGGAATTGTGCCCGGTATATGGCAATAGGCTCACCCCCTATTACATGGGACTCGTAACATAAATAGTGAAAAGTGGGTGTTACATTGTACAGTGGTATAATGTGCACCTCTGCCTACCCCTTCTGGGATAAAAGGCGTGATGTTATGTTATGTTTGTACGTAAGTATCTATTCGGGTTTTTTACAGATATTATCAAATGAGCATATTTATCTTGATTGCATATCTGATACAATCATTAGATTTAAATTAGCATATAATTTCTCGGTACATGTTAATGGCGACAAGAAAAATGAGGAAATTATTATGTTAGTTGTTCGCAATTAGTGAGCTGGTAAAGCTAGGAATGATCTTGAAGGAAATCTTAACAGACATCATAGACAAATACACATTGGAGCACTTCATGCTTCTTATATTTTTTATATGTTTTTATGAATGAAATAAAGAGTAGCTTTTAGTACCGATATTATTCGTTACTGGAAACCACTTTAGAATAAATTCATACATCTACTGCTACTTAATAATATAAACAAAAAAGGTTTGATATCATCTGATTTAACAAACCAAAAGTGACCAAGTATGGTTTGTGTAGCACTTCCAAAGCAAGTTCAAAACATATTGACCTACAGGTTCCAATGGCAGTTTATTTACTTCTAGCAGGTGCTGTATATACGGAAGACTGCGTGTCATTGCCAGGGATTTTTTACTTACGTTTTTGTTTCGCAGCAAACATAGCTTCAGATGGTTTACAATGCTAATTTACACTACGCTTAGTCACGTGCATAAACAACGTGCTAGTTTACAGATTTTGCATAAATATTAACTCGTTGCAGCATAAACATGACCAACATTTGTCCATTTGTCCCATTTGTTTCATTTCCTTGAAATGAATCACGGACTCTCTCTTCACATTGGCATAATAATTGGGCCAACGTTTGCTAACTATGTACGCCCATTGTTCTTCTCATAATGGTGTGCTGATCCTAATTTGTTGGCTGACGTTTGGACAAGTACGCCAAATGCGTGGGATGATAAACAGTTACTGTAATGATATTTTAAACGCGGTCGTAAATTGAATTCTGGTTAAGTTAAATTTGTTGAAATGAGAGTCAATTCTCGACAGTGAAGACGAATTTGAATAGCAAGATTTTTTTTATATAATTTTATAAATAAAACAGGAGAATACTGTTGATTTATTCAATAATATACAACAGCAATATACGCATAAGTGATTCTATAATGATATTCATTTCCTGCGCCAACTATAATGCAACGAATAATGTCAATGACAATATACAGCACATTTTCTTACACCAACCTTGGTTATACTAATTATATACTATTCACTGTAAACAATTTACATGTTCTACGATAATAATGTTGTTTATACATAGTAATTTCACGTGTCCGATGCAAATGAATGACTATCATTTGTTTGTATGTAGGTCATGAAGAATGACAGAATAATGAAACCAAGTGGCCTATGGTGCAGTTAGATGCAGCAAACAAAAAGGATCAATGCTACTGAATGGTGTTGCAAAAATGAAATAAGTTTCAAGGTAACATGGCAAGAATCAGTGAAGTTTACGTCACGTTTAATTACTGAAAGAAAAACGTTCACGTCATATCTCTTCCTAATATTTGCACAAATTAACACAGCCATTACACAAACACACATGTAAGGCTGCATTGATCTTATCTTTTGTTACGTTATTTTGCGTTGTAGGCAATTAATCTTGTTATCAAATATGAAGTTAATTATGCAAAATTCTTGAGTAACACTGTGGTGGAAAATTAAAAAACTTACCTGGGTTTGCTGGCGTCCTGCGTCGCCTCGCGGACGCTCTCTTGACGACCGTCGACATGAGCGAGTCCATCTCACTCCCGGAATCCCACCGCGACCTCTGCGGTGCTGGCCGTGACAGACGTCCATCATCCTCCGTATCCCTATCACTACTGGTAGGCGGCAGATTAGACTCGTCACTTTCCGGAGGAGGGTCCACTTTAACACTTTTGTTGAACACACCGATCATACTAACATCACGAATATCGTCGGAACACGTAAACGGGTGAGTCAAAGTTCGTCGTATGTTGCTTTTCCTATGTTTCACTTTCACTGATCCCTCGGAGAGCGAGCGCTTTCCGTTCAGCTTGCTATCTGTTTTTGTTTCTCCCCTGGTGCATTTCAAGTCAGATGGCGACAGGGATTTCTTTCTAGAGTTTCGCCGTTTGTTACATCTTTTTTGTCTGCTTGATTCTCTTGTTGTCTGCATCGTGGTTACATTTATGATTGCTGTAACAAAAAGATGAATGTGTTACCTATGTTGATTGCTTTGATTGTTTAACATTTATGGTCACATACTAGTTATTTCAAGAAATGCGTTTCAACTTAGGCAACTGTCTATATCTTCTTATCGATCTGATGGTTTATATGAAATGTATGAATGTGATTGAGGTATCATAAATATTCCACGAATTGCAATTGGAATCTTATTCGTATTCCCTTTAAGGTCAGTAAACACGTAATAGAATAATGAAAATTGCCATAAAATGCAAATATTGTACCGGTTTATCGAGTTAGCACCATTTACATTCAATCATGCTCGATTACAATTAACTCTTAACTTAATATTACACCATTTGGCAGATTTATGAAAACTATCGATCTTTATTTTGCCATTTTGTAACCCATTTAATTGTTTATCACAGTTATCATCACTTTTAAACTTATCGCTAAACAAACGAAGGGAAAGGGTTCGACTATCACCAAATTTTATCGATATTGTCAGATTAGAAATTCTTTGGAAATTGGAACCTGCAATAAAAAAAATTGATATAGAAAAATTCTCATTACTATCATCCGTAACGTATTTTAAATATTTTTGTTTTAAACATTCAAAACAGAGAATAGGTGTTATGGTATATTATGTAATTTGGTGAAACGATTAAAGAATTTAAAGAAATGGTTGCTATGTATGTGTATGTATTACTTACATATTATGAGATTTAAATCTACATTAAGTCGCCATAAGGTGAATATGGCAAGAAAATGTAGATCATTCTATAGATATACCTTGGATATTACGGAAATACAAAGACTCTTTTCAACTGTAATATTTTGTTGCTTATCAATATTTAACTGATTATGTACCTTCTCGGGGAATAACAGTTCAGATATAATATTATCTATGACAATATTTCTGAGAGAAATCTTGGACGCACTCTCCATGAAACTTCACGATCATGACACAAAATTTCACACTAACGGCCATCTTGAACAATAATGCAAATAGAGAAACTGTGATGAAAATCATCCGCTCAATAACGTCAAGCTACATAATTCAAGGAAGGTATCCTCAAGATTGTTATCTCAAGCGAAGAATCGCGTTTTTTCTAGCAATAAAATGAAAAACCTGAAGCGTTAATTCAATAATTCAAGTTTTTCGTGATAAAATGTTTTTATTATTGTACTATTATTTCAGAAATGGAATAAAAACTCTTAATTTGATTGTATGGCGACGAAAAATAGGTAATTTTTGAGGTAGATTATCTCGTAGTGTTTTCCCAGGGTCGTAATTAAACAGATTGGTACTTAAGATAAGCGCCAGTTTTACATCATAGAATGATTAAGGGGTGATTTATAATATTAAGAGTACATAGTTTAAGTGATAATTAAGAAAGAAAAATAGGCGATAGATTGAAGACAAGACTAGCGAGGAAAAGGGTAGCATTGTCGTCTGTAAAGAAGACATATCATTCAATAGTTATAAAGAATGGTCTGTATTGACTGCAATCTACCAGCAATTATTATAATTGCACCTGCTAATTATTTCATGGCGCTCGCAATTAAGAAAAATAAAAAAGACGTAATATTGTATGCAAAAACTTGTCAAGAACACAGAGATAGTTGAAAATAATTCAATGACTACATATTAAGCCAAGAATTAAAAAAAATGTATTTATTCGTTTCCCATATAAAAATTAAAGATTGGTAAGTATAGGTACTGTAGCTATCTGTATCTAAGAAATTAATAAACTAATAAGTAATCACATCCTAATCAATAAATCAATCCGAGCAATAAAAGAAATCATAAGATAAAGTAAATTCCATACCGCAATGTAGATAAAAATAAATAACGAAATATTAAATTAACGTTGAAATATATATGTACCTCCGACGGACGCAACCGCAAACCGAGGAAACGTTATCTACACTGCATAGTTGGTATCACAATTTCGTATTTCACTAAACAAACACACGACCGCACAAAATTATCAAATGCTAAAATTTAAAAACAATCACGACACAGATAACGTATTTTTATTGACGTAGTTTTGGCGCGAACACACATATTGTTTTAAATTCGAGCGAAGACACTGCGTATTCAGCCTAACTTTTTTTAAAACGTCTCGATATACCGTCGTCTAGCGACGAAGGCGTCTGTTTCCGACGGTTCTGTAAACCAAACTGCTTGCAGACCCGGGCACGCGGTACATCAACACTCCGATTAAAATTAAGCGCGAAAAATCTTTGACCATGCAATTTTCGCACGTAAGAAGTGTGAATTAGTTTTAGTGAAGATGGTAAATTGATTTTAAAAGTAAGTGAACAGGTTAATTTTCCAAACCAAATAAACAAAAATATAGCGGCAGTTTAGTAGGTATTTTAATATAGATAGATTCTATCGAGGTATAAAAAATAATTATGTTGCAATAACACTTAGCAAGTTTATTAGTTATATTACGACCTAATAAAAACTCTTTTCATAATTATTTCATTGGCACTTTATTCCAATTGACTATTTTAATTAATTTGTGTAGAGTATTAAATTTAAATGTGGTAGTGAATACATTTGTTTATAAATTACAAACGAAATCCATTGCTTTCCAACACACAACAGCCCATGAGTTATGAACGTAGTGATTTGTCTTGTTTCATGCGAAAATCGAATCATCAACAGCCTATAAATGCCCACTGCTGAGCAAAGCCTCTTCTCACACGGAGAAGGTTAGAGCGTTAATCACCACGCTTGCTCAATGCGGGTTGGCGATTTCAAACTTATAATTAGAAATTATAAGTCCAGGTTTCCTCACGATGTTTTTCCTTCACCGTTTGTCAGTGGTGTCTAAATAATCTTAGAAAGTACATATAACTCGGAAAAAGTCACATTGGTACTTGCCGTTGGTAGGTTTCGAACCGGCACCCTCATGCATGAGAAGTGGGCGTCTTAAACCTCCGGGCCACCACGACATTCGAAAATCGAATAAATAAAAGTAATTTTCTAACAAGTCTAGGAACAGATTAACGAGAAAATATTCCGCATTTAGCCATCTTTTCTTGACTATATATTGTAGCATTGTGTTAAGAATAAAATTATATAAAATATTTGCAATCGTTAAATAACATTTTAGGCTTCGCGGGAAACGACGCGTGAAACCTGACCTTAGGCCTTCAGCGTTTTTACTACAGAGCCACAAATAATGCTTGGCCTAGGGTGTCTAAACACTTCGTTGCGCTCGAGACTACCGAGGGGTCCAAGAGATGCATAATGAATATAATTACACAGTTTATTGACTTCAAAGAACTATATTAAGCACTCATTCTTATCGTAGTTTTATAAGCAAGAAACCAATAGAAAGATTTATCGGATATTGTTCCAAATTTAGGCTATGATTATGTGACCTATTTATATCTGGGTAACAAACACGATAAGGAATTAGCGCAGCAGGTCCTCAGAGTCAATGAAAACTAAAGTTATGAATTTGATAAGCTAAACATTCGATCAGTTACCAATTTTCTTAAAGTCCTCGTCGACAGGTCGGTTTGGTCATTGCTTTACAATAAAATTTATGAACTGAAGATACTATGAGAATATTCGCAGCATTACAGTCTTGGAGATAGTGTAAAGAATTCTTCATAGTTATGATGTGATACGACACGGTCGTTACAGCAAGGAAGCAACCATAATAGACAACTCCACAGTGACTACAGTACAGTTAAATCGAACTCCCATTTAACACGGTACGCATTTTATTAAGAACCAATTGTAGACTTGCATTGACATTGCAAGGAAAGCATAGTATCCGGCGATCAATTTTACACATCGGACTTTGGAAAAAGGCCATTTTGTATGATTTTACAATAACTTTTTCTTTTTCGTTATTTTTGAAATCCAAGCCGAGAGCTCAATCAGTTTTAGAGGCTCATAAGTGTATACGTGGTTGCCCGATTGTCTCTTTCCAAAAGTCGATGATCAATATTTATCACCGGTTACTGTAGTTCGTGCGCCATTATTAGGACTTCATAACAAACCATTTTATAGTCCTAATGGTCACACCTTCCTTCCATTCTTCTATTGAAACAATTGTGCGTTGATGATCCTTTAAGTTTTTATTATGATTGCATTTAATTTTATTACAATACACATTTATCATTACCGGAAAATAACAGATTTTGATATAACTCTAAGCAAAAACATGATAAAGCTATTAAAATGCATTTTAATGTTAAACACTATCAATTAGGGATCCGATTAACATTGCATTCCGAAATATACATAGGTGTTACACACTTGTGCAGTTGGAACAAAAGTAAAGTAGAATGTTCGACGGAACTAAAAACCTTGCGTTTAACAACGACGATTATTTGAAGGTAACCAAGGCTGGGCTATTCATACATTGATTTGATAGTGCATAAAAGTTGCCTACAAAATAGCATACGTCTATGGAGTCGTCTATCAATAGAACGGATAGAGAACCTTCGTGACTTCATATTATTTTGGATTTAAAAAGAGAATGCATATTTTTAAACATAGATATTGATGGGCTTGAGGAGGGAATGGAATATGTTTTACTCTTACAGAAAGGTAAAAATTTTGTTAAATTATCCATTATGACAAAATAAGTAGGGACAGTTGTATCAATTCAATCATGTGCATGGGTGACGACGTTCTAGTAAGCAAACGCCTAAGTCCCCACTTTCGGATTTTTTCTAGTTTCTGTATGTAAATAAAGGGACAGCTACTTGGCTACAGAATATTAAACTGTTTATAAACTTACTATTTAAAGTTATTTATATTAATATAAGCAGAGAGCCTTGTTAAATGCAGTCATACAATTTAAAAGTTAAATCTAAGAGAAATCGGATTTAAACTACTATCTTATTCCGAGTTTATTGAAGAGTGGATGTACTGAATGTTTATACCTCTGTTCCTTTATTGTCACTATTGAGGATGTTGGTAGATGCTTTTTTTACATACATAATACATAGTACTTTAATATTCCTTCTATCTT